TTATATTTCACCCTTATAAAAAGCTCATGCTTACCTGGGAAGAAGCAAATTGATTCTTACTTCTATCCAGTTGTCAGTTAGCATAGTGTTAGATCTTTTCTCTTTCTTCAGTGTTGGGGATTGACCCAGGCTTTGTGTGTACTCAGTGCTCTACCACTGAGCAGCATCCTCAGCCCATAGCCCTAAACCTTACATCCCGTACTTGAATTCCAGATTCTTTGCCCTCCCCACTACACACACAACTATTAAACATGTAAATGGTTGCAGCCATTTACTATATTTTTGGGTGCCCCGCTCCCTCCACCTCCTCTTCTTCAAAATCTACTCTCAACAGCCACTGCCAAAGAGTTTACCTAAACAGCCATGGTCATTCCCTCTGGTGCTTCTCCTGAACACAGCTGATTGGACTGGGGATGGACATCTGATCTAATGTCTACCAATCTGTTGGCTAGCCAGGAGCCAATCAGATTCAGACTTTTTTTTCTTTCTTTTCTTTTTTTAAGAGGCTGGATCTCCGATTTTTCCCAGCTGGTTTCCATCTCTGGGCTCAAGTGAGCCTCCTGCTTCTGCCTCTCCAATGGCTGGCAGCACAGGGTACACCACTACACCCAGCTCAAACTTCAAATTTTGAACTCAGAAAACCAGACGCTATAGTAAGTAGCTATCTCAACTGAGAAATCATGCAGAGTCTGGTGCTGACAAACCCCACCAGATAAAACAGGCCGCTCTCTTGGGTGGGTGAGAAGAAAAGGCAAGCTGGTCTATAGTTAGAAGAGTGTAGCTGTGCTTTCAATTCATGTGGTAACCAAGAAAGAGAGCGAGACAAGAGTAGTTGCTTTGGCTTGTGGGACTTTCTGGTTCACAGTCCCACTTCTCACGCTTGGCTTCAGTGAGGTTTTCCTGTATCCTTTCAATAATCTCATGAGCAAGCTGGAGTGAATTTCCATCCTCTGCTTAGAACTCAACTGGGACGAAAGCACTGGCTTTGGAGAGAAGTAAAGATTCTCAAGCCTTAGTTTTCTCACTGGCAAAAAGCTCAAAATCCCTTGCTTCCAAGGAAGCATAAGAATCCGCAGTGTATCATGCCAGTGCTGGGAAATAAGCAAAGACTCAGAGACGGAAAGCTGAGGCAGGAAAAATTCAGTTGACTCATCTCCCCACTTCCTGTCCTGGCCTGAAGTCCCAAGAAGAAGGAAACAATCCTGGAAAGTTGGAGGCAGCTTTGCTCAGCACAGAAATTAGAGCAACCAGGACCTTGACATCACCACTCTACAGACTAGTTATGCCTGCTGGAGGGTGCAGCCAATGTGGTTTTTGAGGCACAAGAATATACTACAAGGAGCCATCCCAGGTACTGTTGCTTATATCAAGAGCGGAGGGGTTTCCAAAGACAAAGCAACAATGGCTGCTGTAGCCCTGGCATGGCCTGCTAGGTGGTATAGCTACCAAAGCTGTTGAATTTTTCTGTGGGTGACCCTGTTCATCACTGGAGGAAAAAGAGAACAGTCCTTTTCTCTGTGAGTCCCCAGGCTCTCTGATCAAAAATACTTTCCTTAAGGTCACTCAGGCTCTGCCCTGGGTCTCTGACTTCTGCCCATTTATGTTCTCTGGGATAGACTTGTCTGCAGCGCTGGAAGCATACACCTTCCTGAGATCCTCCCTGCTGTTGCCTGCCTCTAAGTTTAAAGGATCAATTAACAGCATGAATTCTCACTACCTGTGACCACCAGGCCACAGGAAGGTCCCAGAGAATCCTTTAGCAGCAGTTTTCCAGGGAGCTCTGTGGTCGTCTCTACCAGCAGCGTCTCTCCCCAGTTCACAGCCTCATCAGCCATGCTTTCACCCACTTGCCACCTGAGATCAGTCCATTCTTAGCCTCCCCCAGGCCTCTGTAGAAGGAGCGACTTCACTCTTGGACTCTAAGGAATCATTTAATCTCTTCGCCTATTACTTCAGCCACAAAATGGTTAAAATGCCTACCAATGAGGTTGTTTCATAATTCTGGTGGAAAGATCCCATGCAGTACACAGCCTGGTGTCTGGTGTTCACTGTTTATAGACTTGGAATCACTTTCCAGATACATCTCTTTAGATGTATCCGAGAGCACAGAGGGCTGGCATGCTCACACCTCCACGTCACCTCACGGCTGTGGTTTAAGCCAGGGGGCCCCCTGGCAAGCAAAGGAGCCAGAGGTAGCTGGATTCCTCTATTGACCCTCCATTTGAGGGACTCCAATTAAGTAAGAGGGCACACAGGCAGAGAGACCTGGCACCCAGTGAGATCCGGGGGATCTCTGACTGGGGCTGCCACCCAACAATGCCAATGGAAATGCCTCAACTCGCCCACCATGTTCCAGGTCAAAGGCATCACAATTGGGTCTTTGTTCCAGAGTTCAGAAGCCTCAATCACTAACTCTTCCCAGCTCCCAGGATGCCTCCCATGCCTCCCTCCCCACCCCGACGGTCAGGTCTCCAGCTTCCCAACCAGGGAACCACCTCCCAGCATCAGCAATTTGCCCCCCCTTCCTTTCTCCCCTCCACCCACTTAGTTCCTCTGGTTAAGCTAGTTGTACACTCCAGGCCTCCTGGCTTCTGATAGCGACAGGTAGACAGGTGACCATAGCACTCCAGGTCCCTGTGCAAACACCTGCAGATGTGTAGCCATCTTCACTAAAGGGAAAGATACAAAAGCAGAACAAAATCCATGTTCGGTGAGGCTCTCTTCACCCAACACCCAGGGCCTATTGAGTCACCCAGCACGGAGTTCAGACTTGGGAATGGGCATGCAGAGAGGTCATTTCTTGCAGCTCCCACTTCTAAGCAGCCACAAGGTTACCTCCATTTACAGAAAGGATAACTAAGGCCCAGGTAAGTGGAGGGACCTGAAACCACCCAGCCTGCAGGTCACAGGTAAATTCTGCTTCTAGTGACAGCTACTGTCTCATAGGGTCTGTGTACCAGACTGCCAGGTTGCTCCTGCCACAGGTGGTGATGGGGGCAGCTTGAGCCTCCTTAGACAGCCATGGGGAACTCTGTGGAGAGTCTGCAGGTGTTTCTACTGTGTCCAGGCCTAACACAAACTCTACTTTTTCAAAGTACTCCTTCCCCCATGCCCAGGCAGAACTCCAAGTATTGCTAGAGTCACGTGTGGGATGGGAAGGGAGAGGGCACAAATGCCCCTGGGAATCATGGAGGGTTAAAGCAGCACAGACTTCCTTTTATGTGGAGTCTCTTTTGCCATCTTGGCCAGTGAATGACCTCTAAGACACCTCCTATACTTCTACCCCTGCTGCTCCAGGGTAATACAGTTGTGGTGGTGAGACAGGGCAGGTGCAATGGTAGAAGGATCCCTAAGGAAGAATTTCTGGGAAGACTTGACCTTGGACAGAGAAGTAAGCCCCTTTCTTTCCTAGGTGCAAGCTCCCAAATGTACAACCCCTCTCCCTCACGCTGGCATCTCCCATTACACCATGAATGGCGCTTAGGGCTTCCAGAGCCAGACCCACAGCAATGGCAGATTCCTTATGGGGGGGTGAGGCTGGTGATAACAACAAAAGGAAAAGCTGTGCAGGAAGGGGACCAGTGTAGCAGCCACCTAGAGTGATGGTTCAAGGCCTTATGTCGGAGCCAGGTAGGCAGTGTCACTGCTGATTACCTGGCAGTGGCTCCAGATACAAGAGCAGAGTTTGACCTATCTGACAGGGGAACAGGTTGTGAAAACTCCAGAAGCAAGAGGAACAAGAGTCAGGCCGGTGTTCACATCAGAGCCCTGTGTTCAGGGAGTGCACTCCTGAGCAGCTGCATCAGGAGCCTGAACCCACATCCCTCTGACGGCCCACTGGGATTTCCTCAATCTCTCTGCAGCTACCTGCCACACAGAGGCATAGGAGTCAGGAGCTCAGGAACAGCCCCGTCTGTTTTTGACCTCAGGAGACTCTCTTCCCTCAATCTTGGCGCCTCACTCACTCTATATACAGAGTGGGCACAGCAGTCCTTTGGTTTGCCTTCTTTTCAAAATATTGAAAAGGAAAAGAAGGGACAGGCTGAGGAGAACAGGCCTTTCCCCTCTGGAATGTCCACCAAATATAGTCCAGAGAGCTCCTGTGCTCCAGCAAACTGAAACCGAAACAAGACCCCTCTGGAGCCCATTCAAACCCCAGGTGTGGGTAAACTGCTGGTGGATGTCCTGGGTACAAGGCCCATTCCTGGTCCAGCCTGGCCACATGAGCTTACAGTGCCGGACTGACAGATGTGGGGGTCTCCTTTCTCCACCTGCCATGACTTCTGCTGCCAAAGGATACCAAGGGGCTTTGGCCCACTCTACAAGAACCGTGAAACCAGCAGTCCCTGGGCAGCCATCAGCATGCCCCCTATGTCAGTTCCTAATAATAGAGTGCTTGCTGCAGGACCCTCCCTAGCTGTGGGACCTGGCTTCATCCCCCTGTCTGGGCCCTCTTCCCAGGTCCTGGCAGCCTCCTGTTAGGCAGGGGGCAGTCAGCTCACCACCCAGACACTAGCCAACTCCCACAGGCCTGGTCCTTCCTCAGACAACTCACCAGGGGCAAGGAGGAACTCTGGACCCCATGGTGATGTCATGGCCACTTTCCCCACCAGCTGGTTCTCCTGTTTCTGCCTGGACCCTGGCTTGGAATATGGCCCCAACACGGGAAGCTGCTGTTGGGCATTCCAGAGCTGGAAGCCACCTTCTCCTCGGGCCTCGGACGGCACAGGGTCCCTGAGCAGGAGCTGCCACCCTGGCCTTGCATTAACACAAGTCGGTTAATTACCCCCAAGTCTGGGAGACATTCTTCCACCACCAGGCAAACTGCTGGCCTGCAGCCCAAACCAACAGGGGAACTTCAGACTCCTCAGCCCTCTCCCTGCCAGATGGAAATAACGTATAGCTGCAGAGGTGGGGGGAGGAGGAAGGGAACAAAAACCAGCAGGGCCTGAGAGCCAGGCAGCAACCCCCCAGTGGGCAGCCGATGGCTGGACACTCACCGCTCTCGTTCTTCTCGATGACATCCACCACCTCCCCGGCCTGGAGGCTCAGCTCTGAGTTCTCCTGCTTCTTATAGTTGGACACCACCACGTACTGTTCCAGGATCATGGGCTCGGCGTTGGTGTCGGCACCTGGCGAGGGCAGAAAGCATGCGGTGAGCCAGCGGCCAGCCATGGCCCCGCGGCCGGGGCGCCCCCTGTCCATCGGCCTCGGGGGAGGCTGCTCGGTCGCCAGTGCTGCTCCGAGGGGCAGCCCCCAGCCAGGGCTCGCAGCTCACTGGGCCCCAAGGACAGGCCATATAGCAAGGCCCCACACCGGCCCGCTGCACTGCGGGGACCGGGGGACATGGGGAGCCAGGGGACAGGGGGAAGAGAAGGGGGGAGGAGAGAAACGGAGGGAGAAAGAGGCCAAGGAAAGTGAGGGAAAAGCCTGCTGCTGCGAAGAGTTAGTCACAGCCCGGCATGGGGGAGTCTGTGGAGAGGCCTGGGGCCGACGTGGTCCCTGCAGACCCGGGCTGGCCGGGGTGTGAGGGGAGGGCTGAGAACAAGCGGTGGGCGGCCCATGAGTGCTGAGGCCGCAGCGCAGGACAGAGAAAGAGAGGCAAGGGGCAGGCCCAGGACGAGGCCCGGCCTCTACCCCAAGCCTGGAAACCCAGAGAGAAAAGGTAGCTGTGCTCCCCTCGGGCGGGAGAGGGAGAGCGGGAGAGGACTTCTCCGCAGCCCAGGCCCGGTGAGGAGTCCAGAGACTCTGAGGCCGCCAATCACTGGGGCTTACTCGCAACCCTTAAATAGAAACACATGAGACCCATCAAATGAGGAGCTGGGGGTGGAGGCAGGGGAGGGAGGAGGGCCCAGACTGTTTACTTGAAACCCAAGAAGAAAGTCCCAGCGCCAGCGCCGGCAAGCCCAGCCCACCCCCCGCCAACTTTTCCTCAAGTTCGGCTCCATTCCTGTCTCTGTGTCTCACAGAGGGCTGGGCAGATGCTGCCTCACTCAGGCCGCTGGCCCAACCTCGTGGAGGCTGCCTGTCTCCCTCGGCCCCTATGCTGGGCTTGTGCTCTTGTTCCACCAGCCTCCAGTCACACTTTCAGGAGCTTGAGGGATCAAAGCCTGGGGGGTAGCAGAGAGAGGCCAGGTAGGCCCCAGGCTCTCAGGAGCAAGCAACTTGTCTGTCTCCTTGGCCAACTGTGACATACATTAGACAAGCAGCACCAAGCTGGGGTGGACAGCCAGGGTGCCCATCTTGGCTTGGATGTGCTGTGTAAACCTCTTTGTGCTTTCACTATGACATCACTGGTACTTAATATGTTTATATACCCCGCTAGAACCTAATAGAAGCCACAAGCCAGAGACTGACTAGTCACCTCCTTCAGGAAGCCTTCCCAGACCACCTCAGCCCAAAGGGAATTCCTCCTCCACCTCTTAAACCTTATGTTTGTCAGCCAGGCATAGTGGTGCACACCACAGTCCCAGCCCTCAGGAGGTTGAGGCAGGAGGATCTCAAGTTCAAGGCCAGCTTGAGCTACATATTGAGACTCAGTCTCAAAACCAAAACAAATGCAAAACTCTGTATTTACCAATCGCCTTGTAGGATGGGGGCTTCCCATCACTAACCTGGTCATAGAAACCACTGATGCTCTCCAGGCTCCATACGCTCCCCATTGTGCCCCAACCCACAGCCACTGCCCCAGGCATGTCCCAACACCTCTGTTCTTTTCCCTCCGAGGCTCAGAGAGGGCAAGAGACTCACTCCAGCTTCCACAGCTACTATGGAGGGAACCGCATGCACTCGCTGTTTGGTTTTTAGGTTCAAGCCCATCTTTCTCTTCTCTTACAGGGCTCAGATTTCTGTTTCTGCACATGTTGTTCTAACACAGAGATCCTCCACATGGGAGCAGAGAATCACCTGAGGACCTTTCTAAAAGCCCAATGCCTGGGCTTCAGCAATCCACGTTTAACTGGTTAAGGTACATGCACGAGTGTTTTGTACACACCCATCTTGCCCTGTGGTTCCAGTGTGCAGGCAGGAATAAGAAGCACTGTTTAGATCTTTCAGATCTTTGTGAGGGCAGGAGGTGATGACCAGGGAACTCTGGGAAAGCCTCAGGAGGAGGTTCTCCTTAGAGGACAAAGAAACCCATGGCCCTGGTACTTTTCCCCTATGCAGTGTGAGCCTCCCAGCCCCATCAGGGCCCTTTGGAGACCCAGAAGGGACCCTGTCACCAGTGAAGTGTGCCCATGGGTATGCACATGCAAGCTCTGGCAAGCCCCTCCAAAGCTAGGGTTGTATTTCAGGCAGAAATGCAACCAACAGCTGGGAGCAGGCGGCCCCGCTTCTGCACACAGACACCAGCTTCTGCACTTGCGCCTGCCAGCAGGACAGCAGCAGCACTGGGCACTGGGCTGACAGGCAGCCTCCCAATGTGCCCTGGGGGACTTCAGTGCCCTTCTGGAAGCATCTGGGGCCCTGAGTACTTCCTAAGTATGCAAGCACAAAAGGGGCCGACCTCTGCCTATCGGACACAGAGGCTCCTGTCAGTTGGAGGGGAGGCCCTGATTGTGAAAAGTGGGAAAGGGATACTCAAAGATCCAAACAGGAGAGGCGTTCCACAGTAGGTCTGACACCTTCCAAGACCTGAGAGTGTGCTGATCATCTGGGTAACTGAGCCTCCACCAGGGCCTCCTCTGCACAGAGTCTGACTGCAGTGTTGTCCAATGACCTAATGCAATAGGCCCTGTTACAGCTCCATTTTCCACATGGACACACTGAGTCTCACGAGGGGGAGCTACTTTCCTAAGGTCAAACATTTGGGACTGAATCCAACCTCCCCTGACACCATGCCTGTGATCTTACCTGCACCACATATGGCCAACAGGTGCCATGGTTGCCTGGCCTCCAGTGAAGGCCCTATACATCCTCAGACACCTGGCACACAGGTGGTGCCTAAGACTCCTAAGAATGGAGTGTGGGCTTCTTGTTGACTCTTGGTACCTATATCGACCACAGCATAGCATCTGTTAGTGGAAGACGCTCCATGTTTGTGACATGAATCAATTGCTAGACATATGGACAGTGATTTGATGGCTTGGTGGTGGATCTGGATAGGCAGGTCTCACCTCTCAAAGGGGAAAACTATACAAGTGGACTGGAAGGGAAGAAGGTGAGATGGGGAAACTGAGGTAAGAAGAGTAAGGAGTTTTGATCTGGGTTTGGCCAGCAAGGACAAAGAGGAGGTGCCAACAAGTGGACAGACATCAACTCAATCTGACTCAAGAAAAGAGAAACCAAAGACAAGCTTGCAAATTGAAGGCAAATCAATGCACCCACATCCCTCCTCCACAGCCTTCCTAGAAGACTGGCTGCAGCTTCCCAAGGCCAGTCCTTGGCACTCGGGGACACAGGTAGAAAAGGAAGAGAGCAGCTTCCACCGCTGCAGAGCACAGGCAAAGGCTGTGGGATGGACACAAGACAAGTACACTCTGTCCTTCTGGCTGCCCTCTGCCCCCGGCTGCAGCAGATGCAGGCTCTCAGCTCAGCCTCTCAGCATCTGCCTCTTGGAATATTGCTGTCCGGGCAGGAGGCGGGTAGGCAGGCGCTGAGAGCAGGTATCCAGATGAGAAACCGCTCGGCCCGCCAGGCGGCTGGTGGGCAGTGATGTCATTCCATACAGGCAGTTCTGGATCCTCTCCCAGCCAAGGCTTGGAAAATTGGGGGCTGGAAGAGTCTGCCTGAGGGAGGGGAGGGGCAGTGGTAGGAGCCCATGTTCAGATGAGAGGACTCTGGTAGAAGCACAGAGCAGGGGTGGGCCCCTTCTAGAGGGCAGAGCCGCTCCAAGGCTGGAAGGGGAGTTCCACAAGGGGTACACCCTTGTATTTCTTTACAGACTCCCTGGCTGGGCCTGCTGGGGTCCTGGGGTGTCCCTGAGATCCCTGCCCCACCTCTGCCTCACACCTGCATTCCTCCAGCTACCACCTGGATGGAACCCTGGCTCTTGCCTGATCCTGGCTGCCAACTTAAACTTCTAAATCAGGCCTTTGCCAAGTCAGTCCCCTACTCCAACACCTTCAATGGCTCCCTGGTGCCTATAGAATAAAGGCCAAATTCAAGCAAAGTCTTTCTTGCAATTTGAGCCCCCCAAGTTCCCTGATCCCTCCCATTCCAAGCAATATTCATGACTCAACATGCATGTACTGAGTACCTACTATGTGCCAGTGACACTGTTCCATGCAATCTCTTCCTGCTATACAGCCCATGCCCTCTGCCCAGAATGCCTTCCCTTCTCTCTGCCAATCCCAGTTCTACCCAAGCATTTTTGCCTGTCCAGGAGCCTCCCTCACCACTCCAGCCATGATACCCTTTCCTGGACCTTTGTTTGGACATGGCTTACTGCCAGACTGTGGGCTTTAGCTCCAGCATTTCCCTGATGTGCGTCCATACCCTAAGATTCACACTCAAGATGTAAAATCTTAGAGTTAGTCTGAGGGCTGATGTCCAGTCCTGCTTTGCCTTTGCTTGGTCTGTGACCCTGGGGAGGATACCTAAACTCTCTGAGCTTTAGTTTTCTCATGTGTAGACAGAAATCATAACAGTACCTCCTGTGGCTGTTTTGAGCATGGAGTGAAGTGACAGGGGTTAAAGCTCCATGTAAACTAAAGACAGCTGTTTATAGAAAACAGAGGGAATGGGAGACGTGGGGAGGAGCTAGAGAGGCCTTGTCTCCTCCTCTGCCTGGGAACCAGCAGGCAACTCAGGGCAAGGGCTACAGGAGCCAGGAGGAGGGCTGGGAGGTCCATGCTGTGACCCTGCAGCAAGCCTCTTCCAGACCCCCCTCCAGGCAGGCGGTGGACACCTGGCAGCTGGAGAGAGAGCCAGCTTACAGCCCTCTGGGTGGAGGTCAGGCTCAGAAGCTCCAGGACCCTTATGTATTAGGATCTCTGGCATCAGCTGTCACCTCCTGTCTCATTGGATTCTCCAACATTCCAGAAGGGAAACCAAGGCCCAGAGAGAGCTGACTTGCCTTAGATTCAGCCCTGGACTTTCAATCGGGCTGCGTTCCCCCGCCCCCCCTGCCCCCAACTACAGCCCTTGGGTCTGTGGCTTCAAACAGCTGGGCTCACCCGAGAAGCCAGGCCCTGTGGTGGCTCCTCCCCAGGCTTCCCATCACCCTCCCCGTCCAGGCATCCTACTGGCCCCTCAGCTATACGTTTGGTGAATAGAATGTATCACTGTGGGCCAAGTGAGCTCCAGCTCACTGGCTTGTGTACAGGGGAAAAAGGGATGGGCGCCCAGCGATTAGCTCAGGCCCAGGCCCGCGTCACAGGGAACACCAGAAGGACGACTGCAAGGGAGGGGCCCTCCCCCATCCTTTCTCTCCTCTTGGCCCCTCTCCTGGGAAGTCCGCCCCCATTCCCTGCCAGCAGCTGTGGCTTCAACCCTGGAGCTGGCCCAGCCCCCCTCTGACACTTGACCCTATGCCTGTTCCCTAAACTCCCAGCCTGAATCTTTGCTCTCAGAAACTATGGGGCTGCACAGGAGACCCTCTGGACATACCACCCCTTCCCCCACCCACCCCTCAACACTGAAAATCCTGCTTTTTCTGCCATGATGCAGTAAGACACTAGTCCCTGACCAGTGTCCCCACTCTGCCAGACAGAGGGCAAGGCCTGAAATCCCCTGAGGCTGGAGGCAGCTCCAAGCTCTGGACTGCTGGGTCACAGGGGCTGTGACCAACCCTCACTCAGTCACAGTCACAGCACAGCCCCACTCTCTGCCCCAAGACTCCAGCTTCCCAGTGAGATCTCAGGAAGCCAGGCTTGGGCAGCAGGGATCTCAGCCCTTTGCCTCAGTTTAGCTTCCTGAAGTGAGGTGACTCATCTTTGGCATGTCCATCTCACTGTCACCAGGATGGCAATGAGACAATGCTGAGGAGGACGGGAGTCCCCCATTCCCTGTACTTCCTGGGTGCCAGGTCCCCCTGAAGGTAGGGTTACATTCCCTTGGAAAGCTTACAAAACCCACCCAAGGTGGCCCAGCCAGAACATGGCAGAGCCATGATTCAAATTCACACACACACTGGGGCCAAAGTCAGTCCACAAAGGCTCCACAGCTGGCTCTGAGGACTCCACAGTGTTCTCCTGGCAGGCAGGGGGCACAGCAAGTGGAGATGCCATGGATACTGATAAAGGGCTGTCACGGGTCACAAGGAAGCATGCAGAAAGAAACCTGAGGCTCTGAGCATGCGTGCTGGGACACACATGTTTGCAAGCATGCATGTACATGCATGCCGGGCAGTACCTGTCACGTCCTTCTTGGGAGACTCAGCCCAGCTGGACAGCCACACTTCCGAGTCCCCGAGAGCGGGCGGCAGCAGGAGAGGAGAACCAGAGGAGAGAACTGTTAGGCAGGCAGGAGGTCCACAGAGTGGCTGCAGGCACCGGGTGCAGCGCCTGCCGTGGGCGGAAGGCGGGGGAGGGGAGGGGAGTGATTTCCTGGCCCGGGATGGCTGCTGGGCGTGGGCCTGTGTGATTACAGAGGCTGGATGGGATAATGAGGTGTCTGTCGAAACGCAGGAATCCTCGGGAGCACAGGATCTTACCCAGTCCCTTTCTTGGGTTATCCTGTCCTGGAGGAGGCAGTCTGGTTCTGCCTCTGAGGCCACGTGGGTAGCTGGTCCCATGGGGTTTGGAAGCTCCGAGGATTCTTGCAGACTAGCAAGCTCAGCAGACTCCTGGAGCCCAAATCCCCAGGGTCAGCATTGGAGCATCCAAGGCCAGTCTCCAGGTCTTAGAATACCTATTAGGCCTTGAATTCTTGTTCAGCCCTTGCCACAGCCTCACCCCTAGAGGGAGATAGACAAGCCCCAGGAAGCAGAAGGGAGCCCCCAGAGAACCTCATTCCTTAACCCAATCTGGGAGAGGAACCTCTGTGACCAGATGAGGGCTCTGTTCTAGGCTCGCACAATGGTGGCCCTCTGGGCCTCAGTTTCCTCACCTGTGAAATGGGTTACATTTGGAGGAACAAAATCAAAGTGACCTACAAGCAACACATGGTTATGTGTTAACAGTAAAAGGAGGCAGAAAGCACCTGGCCTGTGCACTGACAGGAATACTTCTGCAACATGAACTTCAGAGGTGATGCATCGATGCTGTCTGCCTCTAGTGGCCCGTTGGCTGCCTGTGACAACCCCTTGAAGTGGACAGGCATTTCTGGCCCCATTTTGCAGGAAGGGATCTTTTAGAAAGGACAAATAGCTGAGCCAAATGTTCTTGAGCCAGAAATGGAACCAGTTGTGACAGCGCCCCAAGGCCAGGGCTTCCTGGTGGTTTGTTGCAGTAGGGACAATGACAAGGAAACGCTGTGATGCAGGTCTGAGAGACAAACCCTTGCAGCGCCACCCAGTGCTGGTCAGGAGAACTGCTGGACCCCTTCTCAGAACTGATAAATAGCAACATTTATACCCATTTACGGTCTGCTAAGCTTTGTGCCGAGTACTTTACACAACATTTACTTTTCACAACAAACCTAGAGTGATAGGTACTATTCCCTCTGTTTTTCAGATGAAGAAACTGAACCAGAGAGGTTAAGTAACTTGCCAAAGGCTGCACAGCTAGTACAGTGCTGATTGCTTGTAGGGACAAAGACCTCAGGTAATCACAGCTCGATGCCATTCATTTCAAGCCTATCACCCTCTCCCTTGGTCAGTAAGCTTCCTGCCACAAACAGGCTGCCTCCCCTAGAGAGCCAGCCCTTCCAGATTTCACTGTGAACCCAGAGTGGGAGGTTTAGAGAGACCTCTGGAGTCTCACAGCTGAGTTATAATCCAGGCTCTGCCCCTTTGAAGAAGTTGCTTAACTTCTCTGAGCCTGTTCCTGAATGTTAAACACAGGATGAAGTGACATGCTTACCTGCCAGGATTGCTGTGAGGGTTAAATGAGCTGATAAAAGCCGCCCCACCCCACCCCACAGCACCTAGCACACAGTCAGTGCTCACTATTGGGCAGTCACCATTGGCAATATCCCCCTGAGCAGGGCTCAGTTGGTTCTGGGAGCACCAGGAATTCGTGGTCCTGGACTGCAAGGATGAGAACAGACAGCATTTGATCCCAGACTCAACAAGGACACACTCGTACCTGGTCTGAGATACTTTCCACTCTCAGATACCAGGTTAGCTGGAATTGGGGTCAGAGCCTAGCAGCCACGCACCTGAAGCTGGCAAGGCTGCTCTGGCAGGGCTGAGACAGGACAGATGCACCAGGGACCTCCCAGGTTCTAAGCTGCTGTGCCCAAGGACGGCCCAGTGCTGAACAGGTGGCTTTCCTGCCTGGTGACTACATCTTGAGAAGGCTCTGACTTCCCACTGCTGTAACAAGAGATGTGGCCAAGTGGGCTACACCCTAGCGAGAAGGCCATGCTACTCCTGGGCAGGCAAGAACCAGGCCAGTTCTGCCCCTTCTGACTCAGCTACGAGGCTGTCCTTGTCTCCCTCCACCACTGACGGGCTTTTCTCATTCTGCACACTTCTGCTTTGGTTCCTTTGGGTTCTTCATGGGGAAGAATTGGGGAAAGGCAAACCTTTTCTAGCGAGCCCCGGGGAGGCACTTTGCCTGGCCTAGAGAAGCTGGGACCACCTGCTCTGCTAGCCAGGGGTCTGCAAAGGGCCTCAGAGTCTCTGTTGAGGCTGTTCTTCAACTGCACTGTAGTTCAAAAGCAGCCACAGAGGCTATGGCAAGCCATGAGCGGGCTGCAGAGCTACAAGGTGAGCTGGACAGGGTCAGGGGATAGACAACTTGAGTCATGCCTATCTCCCTTGCCCCCCTACCCCCAAAGCAGGGATTCTTTTCCTGTCCCCAAAGGAAAGTGGGAAGCACATCAGAAACAAGCCTGCTTTTTTTTTTTTTTAAAGAAAAGTCTTTCAAAATGATTTATTTTCCAATCTCTGGATGTACAGAATTAATCCAGTCCCTCTGATCCCCACCGGGAGTCCCTTCTCCCAATGCACCCTTGCCAGCTCTCTCCCATGTGGGAAGAACTGTTTCTACGGTCTTACAATGAATACAGGAGAGCCCCTGGCTCATGAACCCTGGCTGGGAAGCAGACAAGGATGCTGATGGCACAAACTCCTCTGGGCCTCAACATGCACATCTGTAAAATGAAGCACTTGGGCCTATTGCTGTACTTGATGTTCTAGACTTTCCCGGCAGACACCCCATAGTCTTCATAAATTCATCTTTCCAGAAAAAGAGACCATTTTCCAGGGAAAACCAGCTGAATTTAGGCTCAATGTCTGAAAAGCCAAGTTAAAAAAAGTAGGTAACTCAGGAGGCACTGTTACGGCTTGAAAATTAAATGTTCTCCACGGGCACGTGTACTGGGGGCTTGGTTGCCAGTAGATGGGCTTTGAGAAGTTATTGGATCCTGAGGGCTCTGACCTGACCGATGGATTAATACCTTGATGGATTCATACGCTGGCATTATTAGGAAGGGGTGAAAGGTCGGAGGCAGGGCCTAGTTGGAGGAACCAGAAAGATGCATCTTGTCCCCTGCCCCTTTCCTTTTCTACCTCTTGCTTCCTGGTGAGCAACTGTGCTCTGCCACTCTTGCCGCCATGATGCTCTGCCTCACCACAGGCTCCCAGCAATGGCGCCAGCTGACCATGGACTGAATCCTTGGAAACTGTGAGGCAAAGTAAGTCTTTCCTCCCTTTAAGCTGTTCTCTTAGGAATTTGTTACAGTGATAAAGAAACACACACAGGCACCGAAGGTGGTCATATGGACCAAGAATAAAAGAAGTTGGCCAGCTACTTAGGAGGCAGAGACAGGAGGACACCTGTTGGAGGCCAGCCCAGGCAAACAAGTCACTAAGACCCGATCTCAAAAACCAGCTGGGCGTGGTGGTACACATCTGTAATCCCAGTTACTGGGGTGGGGGAGGCAGGAGAATCACTATCCAAGGGGGGCCTGGGGAAAAGTGTGAGACACCATCTGAAAATAACTAAAACAAAGGGAGCTGAAGGCATGACTCAAGAGGTAAAACAAAGCCCTGAGTTCTGTCCCAGTCATGGGTTCCTGGGAGATAGGTGTACGGATGGGGTCACTTGCTCAGCTATCCCATGGTACCCAGGTCCCTGCCACTGCTACTCCTGCTGGCTGGCAAAACCAAAGAACCCTCAGTGCCTGCAGGCTGTGGTCAAGTCCAGGGATATACGGGCACCTAGGTGAAAGCCTTGACCCTTGTCAGGTCCAGGCAAGGAGGAGAAAGCACAGAACTCCAGGGTGGGTGCCTGACTTTATAGAAGCTCCCTACTCCCAACATTGCTCTCCCCAACTAGGATAAGTTAGGAATGGACCCCCATGGGTTCCCAAGAAAGCATCTTTTAACCTTGAATAGCTCCAGAGCACTGAGACGCAGGCTCAGTTTACCCAAGTTCATGTTTCCAGGAACGCCCTGGTAGAAAGCCAGTTCTATCCATCCAAGCTAATAAACCCAGAGTGGGCTGTGAGCCCAGGTGGGAGAGACAGGAATGAGTACGGCCAGAACCCCACAGAGAATGAAAGCAAACCAAGGACTCAGGGGACGAGGGCAGGGCCACCCCCTGACTGGCTCCCACTGCCCCCACCCTGGGTTCCTGGAGGGAGGGGCAGCAGGGACCCTGCCAGAGCTGAGTGGAATGAAAACTTCCTGTCTTCCCAGGCCCTTCCCTCCTTCAGGATCTCACTGGAGACCTCTCCCTCCTCGGGAATTCTATTGTTCTTCTAGGAGTTTCTAAATAACTGTACATTCTAGTCTGTTCCCTCCTTCCACACAACTACGCTTTGCATAGGCTCCACATTTCTCTTCCTTTCTGACTATGTCACCAGGAAACTAAGTCACCAACTTCTTAGGACCTGGCAGATTTGGAGGAGTGGGTGGCGGGGATGCGGTATTTGGATTTGAACTCAGGGCCTTGCATTTGCTAGGCAGGTGCTCTACCGCTTCAGCCACACCTCTAGCCCTTCCTGCTTTAGTTATTTTCTGCATAGGGTCCTGAGTTTTTGCTCAGGTTAGCCCAAACTGAGATCCTCCTACCCGTGCCTCCTCTGCAGCTGGGATGACAGATGTGCATCACCACGCCCGGCCTGGCAGATCAGCACAACTGTACTGTTGGGCTATGGTCTGAATGTGGTTTGTCCACCTAAGTAAACTTGATTACTACTGGGCGGTGCTGGGAGGTGGGGCCTTGTCCTTATCGTGGCCTTCCCAGCCTCTAGAACCTTGAGCCAAAACAAACCTCTTTTCTTTTTAAATTATCCCTTCTCAGGCATCATGTTATGGCAACCAGGCATGGGCTTCTCACACGGGC